GCCAACAACTGCAACGCTAACTACTATAGACGCAACAAAATAAGGATGCATACTTTTTTACTTTATAAAAAAGCTTTATTAAAAAATAAGAGCTATTTTATTTTTATTATATACATAATTACTATTTACTATTTAGATTGAGGGATCTTATAATAATCCCCCCAAAAATTCTATAACTCCTCATTTAGATAAATTTTTTTCCAATTGAAACAATAAATCAATCATGATCGACTTTACAGTTATATCTGGCGCGAAAAACGAAGATGCTCTATGTTATTTATTAGAAAGAGAGAAGCAATTTTGAAAAAAGAAATTTATTTTAAAAACGTCTTATGCTTTGTACATACAAGTAAGATTATCTGCAATATCTATATATATTAAAAAAATCATAACGTCAAAGTATCTGCTCGCTGAACTTTTCAATCAGTCAATCAATCAATCAATCAATTTAAAGATCTTCGAGTTTCATGCAATATGTGTGTGTGTGCATTAAAAGGAATTATGGTAAATAGTAACTGCTGAAACTGTTTCTTTTTTATATACAGTATAACTAAATATTTACGTGTCAAAAAAATATTAGATATTATTTGTGAATTTTCCCCCAAACAGCTAATAAATAATAATAAGTCGCCTTCATTCTAGATAAGGTTAAATCCAAAAAAAACAAAGAAATACAACATTAATGATGTTCATAATATGTTTGATTGTTGGTTATAAAGTTTGTTGAATCTCTCTCTCCTTCATTTTGTTTCTTTGTTACTTAATATACAAACAAATAAATAAAATATATAACAAGATGTTAAACAAGAATATAATTTTATCACATAAAAACATGTTATGAAGATCTTTCCGTCGATAGATTTTAAGAAACAATCATTCAAGGTTAAAAAGTTGGTGGTGAAATGGTTTAGGATTTTTGTACAGCATATTTAAATATATATGATGACGTTTTTGAAAAAGTTTAATTTTAATTTGAAAATTCACGGCGGAATTTATTAATTAAAATGTTTTGTGTAGTAAAAATAGAATTGTTTTCCCGCCATCATAATAAATATTATTTTTTTAACTTTTTTAAGCTTTTTAATTATGTTATTCATTTTTGGAAATTTTTTTTTTTTTAATTAATACTTAAATCGAAATATTTACTGTTACAAAAAAATATTGAAAAAGTATTAATTAAATAAAATAAATTTTTTGAATTTTTTACATTGACAAATTCAAAAACTTTATTATTTATTATTTCATATATTATAATAATTATTATTATTATTGCTATGCCATTTTCGCTTTCATGACCTTTATATATATAATATTTTGATATATTTATTAACAGTAAAATAAAAATGTTGTTTTAATAATAAAAAAGATCGCTAGGAAACGTTATCTGTTAATGTACAAGTGAAAATCCCAAATTTATTATATCCAGCACTGATTACTATTGTGAATTTCCAAATATATTCCAATTCATATTTTTTTTTTTAATAATAAGAACAGTTTTTTGGAATTTACTTATTTGGGTTAACACGTTATTATATAATAATAATTGAGTAACTAATCAACGATTTTCTGAATTATCACGATTCTCTAATCAATTATCACATAAAATCATCTAACTCTACATGTCC